AGTCATCAATATGGTCACAACTCATCAGCGCCAACTCTGCAGTTCACAATCAACTCAGGTAAGTGTCTCCCATAGCCAAACCTTGAATAAACACTGTTCGTCTCAATCTCTTCCTCCTACGATGCATGCACACACTGTTCTCTCAAGGATCTACTCTGGATACTACTCATAGCTAAGTACTAACCCTTCTACTCTACTTACTAACTCGCTGGGCAGCATGGCTGCATCCCTTCCAGCGCACAATCTTCTTCTTCCCTCTTAGCGCATCTTCCTTCCTCCAGCGCTACTCCTACTGACTAACGCACAGCACTTCCACGCATTCAAGCCAGTGGAGATCTGGCGAGGAATGAGGCTGGCAGCTTTCTTTATAGTGCTGGCCACTCCTCGCTGGGTCTGCATTGGCTCAATTCAGCCAGTCCTTTGTCCCAGACCCTGCATTGCATGTGTCCCAATGTAGTCCCAATGAGGTTCGACTGCTGCTGAGGCCTCTCGGCCTAGATTTGGATTTCAAAGTCTGGATCTGGACTGACCCCTTGACTTAGACCAGAACTGGGACTGTGCCTATTGACTTTACCTTCGGACAGGCACAACTCTAAATGAACAGACACATTCCTTTGCACGAACAGGTACACTGTCTGCACGTACATACACACTCTTACCCGAACAGACATGACATACACAACTCCAGGTGAACAGGTAAGTCCTTTGACAATGCCCTTTGCCTTAGATTTAGATGTGCCTGTTGATAGAGAACTTGACCTTTGACCTGCTTTCACGTTTCTGAGCCCTCGCGAGATACCTTTTCACAATGCTTTACTTTTTCAAGGCCCGTGCTGCTTTTCTTTTACAAGGCCTGAGGTCTGCATCGGGTAAAGACCCTTTTACTCTCGCCGGCCTGAGTTCGAAGTCCTCTGAGAATCATTCACCTATCAAGGATACGAATCCCTCTCTTTGCGTGACACAATATGAGGTGCGGACACAATATGAGGTGCGGAATCTAGTAGTTTTTCTCTTATAAACCAGTGATCTTCACTAGGATCCTAGTATGCAAACCTCACCTTATACTGTCGTTGTGGTTTGCCCCTACGTCCAGTGTGGTAAGTACTTTCTGCCACGATCTTATCCACATCATACTTTTCATCCATACTTGGAGGTATCGCTGATCGGCGACTTGGGAAGAGTTCATTCGTTACACAAGGTAGGAGCTTGGACGCATGAAACACTGGATATGTACGTAGATGATGGGAAATCTCAATGACATACGAAGGACCATCCACATCTCCAATTACGTCTAAAACCTGCCAAGGTCTTCTGTAGGCGGGTAAAAGCTTCTGAGAGATGCTTTCTTCAGAAGCAAACTCTTTAGACTTCACCCAAACCAAATCTCCTACAACAAATTGGGACGGTCGTCGGTGTTTATTTGCCTATTCTATCATTTGATGCTGTGCTTTGAGGATATTTTATTTTACTTTTTCAAGATCTTTTAGATATTGGACTGCAAATTCACTAGTCCCTACAGGAAGCTTATGTACTTGATTCGGGTTCAATCGATCAATGGGTCTGCGTGGACGCCATCCTAGATGTAACTTCATAGGAGTCTTACACGTAGAGAGGTGTACAGAGTTATTGTAGGCACTAGCAACTTTAGGCAGATGTTCATCCCAGTCAATCTGATCGGGACGAATATACATGCGCAAAGTCTGCTGCAAGATCTTATTCATCTGCTCAGTCTGACTATTAGTTTCAGGATGCGTACCTGATGACTTTGTCAACTTAGAGCCATATACATTCATCAGTTGCTGCCATTGTTCACTTGTGAATCAGGTATCTCTGTCACTCACAATAGTTAAGGGATGTCCAAAGTCTTTCACCCAATGGTTAAAGAACTCCTGAATCACCAAATCAGTCTTTGCTTCCGAAGGCAAAGCTACAAAAACAGCATACTCCGTGAATCTATCCACTATGACCATTACTTGCGTTTTTCCATTTCTGCTTTTCACTTTAGTATCCATGAAATTTATAGAGACAGAGTCTCCAGGGCCCGTAGGGATAGACAAGGGCTTCAGTAGCCCAAGGGGCGATTGCGTGGTGCTTTTGTTTCGGTGGCATACTTGACAACCTTGCACATATGCGATACAGTCTGCATTCATTCGAGGCCATGTGTAGGAATGCAACAAAGTTCCATAGGTCTTCTTCCACCTAAAATGACCTTTGGCATCATG